AAAGATCAAAATTTCACAGCTCACGCCCAAATAAGCGAATCTGAAGAGCTGCAAAAAAGAGCCCAGAAGAGAAATGAAGAGAAATTGCCTGCGGGAGAGCTCGAGGACCCGAACCCGCTTCCGCTGAGAGTCATCAGCGCACCCCAAAACGGCCAAAATTCCACACATTTTGTCTTTCTGCGATGAAAATGAGGATAAGGTTGTGCGTACAGATCACTGTACAGGTGGATTTATATGTAGATAATCAGAGTGGATAGAAATTACAGGGGAATAGGTGGAAGAGAGGGATTTAAGGGAGAATCTCAGGAAAGATAGATTCAAAGGAGCGCACGAATTTCGGAGAAGGAGTCACGAATGAAAAGAGTTTTCTGCTCTTCAGTTGAATGGCGATTGCTGAGTTATATAGGCCCGCCCAGTTGATGGGAAGAGGGCGATTAACGAACCCCTTTCATGCAGCGTCGTTCCACCGCTTCCTATTTTTGGATAAACTCGGCCAACACATTCCTAATCACATCAATTATTAATTAAATACTTTTGTTCATCTCCCACGTTCCTTTTTTAGCCGCTTGTCTCCCGTCGCAACGTTATGGCCTGTTTGGTTTGGGGTCATTACACATGCAGGCCAGAAATGTCATGTGGTGATGGGGTGAATGTGAATGGAAATGTTCTTACCTGGACTTATTTTGGTTTGAGATTAAATTAGATCAGACTTCGATAGTTGAAAATTAAATAGAGGCGAAACTCTATCAAATCAGACCACACTTTTCTTTACTCGGGTGACATCGGGGAAGGGGGTTTGGAGGGCCTGAGATAATTTGTAATCAATTTCACTCCATTTAGAATCACACTAGTTCATATCAGGTTAGACCAGAGCAAAAAATTCTAGTCCAAATAAAAATATCATATGTTCATTAATATTTATAATGTACAGACTCGGAATATAGAAGTACTCCCTCTGTCCCTGAAGCAATGTCCTAGTTTGACTTCACATATGTTAAGAAAATGAATTGAATTTCACATTGTAGCTACACTATTTTGATACTATTTGACATTGTTCTGCACTTTTTTAATAAATTCAAATAGTGATACTATTTGATTTGTTTACCAAATAATGAAATTAAAAAACTGACATTTTAATTTAGCATGTTCCATTTTGGAAAAAGTATGTCATTGTTTAGGGATGGAGAGGGTATAAAAATATGTTCATGTTTTAAATTTGGGAAAACTGTCAAATAGGTCCTCGAACTTTCATAAAAAAATCAATTAAGTCCTTCTATAGGAGACTCTGTCCGGTCGTCGCGATTTGGGGTGGTTCCCGGTGGAATTTTTTGATGAAATTTTTTAAGCATCTTATTCATCAAGTCTAGTTTACTCATACCAAATTTCAGCTAAAAATTTAATCGGGAGCGCATTCAAATTAATTCGAGAACGCAAAAATGCGCAGTTATCTTCAAGAATTAATTTCAATGTGTTCCCGATTGAATTTTTAGCTGAAATTTGGTATGCGTAAACTAGACTTGGTGAATACGATGTTCAAAAAATTTCATCAAAAAATTCCACCGGGAACTTCCCCAAATCGCGACGGTCGGACAAAACCTTCTATAGAAGGACTTAATTGAACTTTTAATGAAAGTTCGATGACTTATTTGACAGTTTTCCCTTTAAATTTTGACCCGTATGAAAATTCTGCACTTCCTAGCACCGCATTTCTAACTTCGCCATTAGCTGAATGTAAGATGTCCTTATTCGTAAGAGTACTTTCACTAGTAAATGTCTTGTGTATATGCTTCCTATACGCATCTACATTTTAGCAACGGTGACAACTCCGGTACCCATTTAAAAAATGGGGTACCGTACCTACTACTCACATCATTGGTCCAAATCATTAAATCATTTTTAATTCAGATTTAAATAATTCAATTGCAACATTTTGATTGGACCAAGTGGACAAAGGTATGGTACCTTTTGGGTACCATAGAATCTACCTTTAGCAATACCATAGTCCGTTAATGTAAAATATGTTCGTTATAATAATAATGACATGACGGAGTAATAATATATTTGGCAAAAAAAACGGAGTAATATACAAGCGTATACAAAATGTGCACATTGAGAATTTTCTTATTTGTAATCGTAGGTGTACATTTTGGGGTGTTAGAAATATGGCATTTCAGCCAAAAAATTACGATTTGACCCGTTTTAGCATTTTCAATAAGTGAAAACGTTTTTTTGGTAAATAATTGTTCGATCTTGGCATTTTTGGATGAAATTGTTGAAATAAAAACGCTACATATGGGAGAGTTGGATTAACGTTTTGAAATATGGCGTTTTCTACTAATTGTTATGGTCAAACAACTAAATTACCAAACATCTTCTGGCAACCCACCAATTTATTACGCTAATCAAGCCCGCTGATTGAATTCGCTATTGCTAACTCATCAACATAATCCGCTATCTGTTATCTGGTAACCGCTAAATGTCAAACACACCCTTTATCTAAATTTGTTCATTATTTGCTAAATTTTTAGGTGACATATGTTGATTGCGTGATAACATATAAGAAAGTACGGAGCATTTACCATCATCAATGTGTGTCACCTACAAATGTACATAGTATCAAATAAAAATACGGAAATTGTGCATTAAGAATGTTCTTAGCTAGACAAATTTTAATCACATGTCAAATGAAATTTTATCGGACCAGACCGATTCCAAACATAACCAAATCGGATTGGAGTGACTAAAAACAGATCAATCAGATTAGATTGGATTCATACAATACAGTCATACAGAGTAGTAAGATATACATTATCTCCCATGCGAACCAGATTTGAAAATTTTAATAGAACAAAAAACTTCTTCAGTTACGTTCACGTGTACTCCGTATAAATTTTATGTGCCATAAAGATCATTTGAACATAAACCTCTGTCAATTATTTTGTCTATTTTTTCTTCCAAAAGTATTTCTTCCACATAAACACAAAATCACACCTCCATAGTGCACTTATTTGAAACAACTATATTAAGATCTCAAAATATTCCTCCAACTTTTAACATAAATCCCGAGTCTTAACCGAGACTCAAATCGATCGAAATCACTTAGCTTTTCCAATATTATAATAGTTGTTTTGTAAACAAGTACAATAGTTTTTTTATAAATTCATGTATGCTGATTACTAGTCTTCAACTTCTCAATTGTTGAATTTTGTCATGTTGAACACTTTTATCCTTTGAAAACGAAAAAAAATGAGTAAGTATTGAAATCTATGGACATAAATTTCATTTTACAATGTTTTTTCCTAATACATATGAACTTAAAAACTTCAATTGATCGATGAAATAATGGAGCGAATACAATTTTCTAATTTAATTTTGTACGTAGTATAAGTTTGAGATATTATATTATTATATTTTAATTTTACATCCATCGAGTCAAACCCCTTCAAGTTATGTGCATTAGCATCTCTTGATTTTTTGAAAAGGTGTCAACTTCCAATAATTATGCTAGAATTAATTATGCATTTATGCATATACTCCGTATAACACGATCAGATAGTAAATGTAGTACTCACTTCGGATCAATATTCCTGTCCGAGTAGCTTTTTCGCATAATTTAAGATAATTTATAGGTTTATTGTACACTTTTTAGTAATATAGCGTGCAACACTGTTTACTTTCTTAAAGTGCATTGTTAGCTACTTTTAGGGGTGAGTTTCTTTTCAAAAATGGAAATGATAAAAATGAGACACTTATTTTGATATGACCAAAAAGAAAAGTATGACATTTATTTTGCTAAACGGGGAGTAGTTTAGAAGTCTCTTGTCTTGGCGTTAATTACGATTAACCATGCAGGTAAGTTCATTAAAACATCTAAAATTTTACAAAATATTGAACATTTCTGTTCTATTTGACCATTAAATTTATTTCACTATATTATTAGGTGTACGAGTTATCTTTCATCCTAAAACAGGATAATCACAATGGACTAATACTTGGAATTTGTGAATTACGACAAAGTTTGATGCAATTATACTCTATCTTCTTTTCTTTATATAAAAATATACTCTATAATCATAGCCTATGTACTATGGTAATTTTTAACCCGTGAAAAGTCTCGATGATGTGGATGAGATAATAATGTGTTAGCGATGACTCCACGGATACATACGGCTTCATCTATAATTGCTGGCCATGTGTCGCTAAATTAAAGTTTACATTTACCCCGTCAATTATTGTTCACAATTCACTAGAAGACACTTTTGTCATTTTGTTGTTTTTGTCCATTATCCTTCCTCCTTGCGATAAAGGAACGTGAATGCAAATGTAAACGTTTAACTCGAGTCCACTTCATCAGCTCCTCCGTGATCGAACACTCACGCATGCTTTGGAGTTGACAGAAAATTTACAAATGTAAGTCCGAATTATTTGATAAATGTCATCTGTGTAATGTTTTGAGAACGTTGTTGGGTAGGTCCAAAGTTTAATGAAGTTAAAAGATATTCAAAATAAGATATTAAAAAATATTTAAAATTTTTAAGAATAAAATAGGATACTCTAAGTTTTAGGTACGTAGTTTTCCACCCAGACTATGTCGACCATTTTACTAATAAAATTCCATTGATTCCCTTTTACTCGCATGCCAAATTGTAAAATAACCAAATGAGCAAAAGTTATAGTGCTTCTCAAACTTTTTTTTAAATGCTTCTCAAATCTCAAACATAATTCACTACAAGAATTTCGGAAATTAGTGTCGGATTTTAGTGTCGGTCTTTAAATCCGACAACAATTAGTGTCGGAACTTAATGGCTGAATTCTATCGGCCAGTAATTTGCGGCGGACATTGGTCGCTACTAATTTGTAGCGGATTGTGTGGCGGAATTTTTCAGCCACTAATTAGTGTCAGATATTAGTGACGGATTTTCCGCCACTAAAATCTGTCATAAAATTAGAAGTACATATACACCACAAACGAGTGACACATCATTCCATACACCCACATCTTATCTTCATCTCTCTAAAATATGGATCTGGACGGGATGTAAGGTTAGAACTCTCAATTTTACTATTTCTAATTTTCTTATATTAATTAATTAGTTATATATAATGTTATCCTTAAATATTTCAACTAAACATATGGCATCCTGTTTTTTTTGTTAAATATTCAAATTATATTGAGTTCTTAGAGGTCCATGTTTTAAATAAGTTTTCTTTATTAGTCCATCTTTTAGAATTTGTCAAATCATGTTGTTGAATAATTAATTATATAAACTAATTTAAAGATGGTGAAATTCACACTAATAATCTCTACTTTAACCAGTTCTACAATAATAATCTCTACTCAAGATATCAATGACAATAATCCAAACTAATAAAGTCATTCACATCACTAGAATATATGAAACGGATATAACAATTTTTTGATATTACAGGATTTACACCTATTCTCTGTACCAATTTCTCATTTCATAGGCTTCATCCCCATCTCCATCATATACTTCTTCAGTTCTTCCACTATTCATATATGGACTAATAATAATTAATCACGAAAATTCATTTATTCTAGCTTCCACTCCGATCCCAGCGTGAGCAACCACAAAACAGTAACTAAACACCTTTAATTTGTTGATTATGAAGCTCGAAATGAATTACGGAGTATTATAAATCGATATTTACAGTCAAAGTCTTTTAATGAAAAAGATGAGAAACTACCTGGGATAAGATCGTAAGAAGGTAATGTCAATAGAGAGGAAGGTGGTGATAGGTATGTGATATGTATGGCACAAAATGGTAACCCGGTTTGCTTAATCTATTTATGTGAACTGGTTTGCCGGTTCGGATTATTTTCATCAATATCTTTAGTAGGGATTATTATTGTAGAACCATTTAAAGTGTAGATTATTAGCGTGAATTTCACCTTTAAAGATTAATAGTCCTTTTGGTAGATTTAGATAATGTTTGGAAAAAATGGCCCATTTCATTTTTTTTGGCAACCGGCCCATTTCATTAGTGATAGTAAAAAATTGATATTACTTTAGTTGTTAATTCATGTTTTATATTTACATGAAATATGATGAATTTTTAATGTTAGGTTAATGTGAAGAGTGTGTAACAAATATTTCTTTTTTAAGTATATGTTCAACACGTGAATGGGTATGTATAATAGTTTGTTGGTGTTTTAAAATATAGAGATTGTGGGCCCTAGTTTGAGTAATTTAAATGATAAATATATACATGAATTTTAATTTGTTATTAGTTAAGAAATATAAACAAAAAAGGTTGATGTTTCATTTACGGTTTAAAAACAATAATTACATTTTAAATAGTGCTTATGAATATTTATTGATATTCCGTTCAAAAAAAGTATTTAGTGATATGAATCAATAATATTGTGGAATATTATATCTTGTATAGGTTTTACAATGAGCCAGGATAGATCATGGATGTATAAAAGGCTTGCAAGACGTGGAGTTCTAAATGAAGATTTTAAGGAAGGAGTTGCCGGATTTATCCAAAGTGCGGTAAACTTATATCCAAATGGTGTTATTGCATGTCCTTGTAGAAAGTGCAAGAACAAAAAGTGGATGACATGGGATATTGTTAAGCAACATTTATTTGAAAAGGGTTTTGTGGAAGATTATTATGTATGGGAGGCACATGGGGAGCCACATAATTCAAATGGATTAGTTTATTTGAGTGAAAGTAGCTCATCTCATGTCAACACATCTGAAGGGCAATATGATCCGTACAAATCAATGTTTGAAGATGCAATAAGGAATGAACTCCCAATGGGATTTGATCACGGTGAGGCTGCAGATGAACCTTGTCCTATCACGACACAAATGTATGAAATGTTGGATACAATGAGCCAACCGTGTTTCGATGGCTGTCCGATGACGCAATTGAGTGCAATGACAGAAATGCTGAATATAAAGACTGAGATGCATTTATCAGAGGCTGCAATGGATAGAATTTCTCAATTCGTAAATAGGTTTTTCCCATCAAGCATCCCAAACAATCCAATTCCGAATTTCAACAAAATCAAAAGAAAACTATCTGTGTTAGGAATGAGCCATCAATCCATCGACTGTTGCCCGAACGGGTGCATGTTATATTGGAGAGCAGATAGTGAGTTATTGGAATGTAAATTTTGCTCAACTGCAAGGTACGACATTAGCAACCAGTCAAATAAATGTATTCCACTTGCAAAAATGGAGTATTTTCCTCTTACTCCTAGGCTGCAACGACTCTATGCTTCAGCTGCTACAGCAGATGATATGAGGTGGCATAAATTTCACCACAATGAGGAAGGAGTAATGCGCCACCCGTCAGATGCAAAGGCGTGGATTCATGTTGATAATGTTTATCCAGAGTTTGCTGCAGATCCGAGAAATGTGAGACTTGGTCTATGCACAGATGGGTTCCAACCTTTTGGTCAATTTGGACAACAATATTCATGTTGGCCTGTGATTGTGACACCGTATAATTTGCCTCCAGGTATGTGTATGAAACAACAATTCTTATTTTTAACTATATTAGTTCCAGGACCAAGGAATCCAGCGAAAGGGATCGATGTGTACCTGCAACCACTGGTGGAGGAGCTTAAGGAATTGTGGGAGGTTGGTGTCACAACATATGACGCAGTTTCACAGCATAACTTTAATATGAGAGCGATTTTGCTATGGACGATTAGTGATCTTCCAGCATATGCGATGTTATCAGGATGGACCACAAAGGGAAAGTTTGCATGTCCATATTGTACTGAGTTTACCGAAGCATTCTGGCTACCCCACAGTAAAAAGCATAGTTGGTTTGATAATCACAGGAAGTTTTTACCAGGTGACCATCCATTTCGGTTTGATGAAAATAACTTTACTAAAGGTAAATCAATCTTGTATGGTCCTCCGATTCACAGGGATGGGTTGTACTGCTATGATGAGGTAAATGGTTTTATGTCAGTTACTGAATTGGGTGGTATGGAGCATAATGCAATTGTTGGAAAAAATATTGGATGGAAGAAGCGTAGCATCTTTTGGGATCTCCCGTACTGGAAGGATTTGCTCATAAGACACAACCTTGATGTCATGCACATAGAGAAGAATTTCTTTGAAAATATCTTTTATACAATAGTGTGCTCATCTTCCCCCAGAACGGAAAACGTGACCTAGATGAGTGTGACTTCGGCGGCGGTGGCTTCGCCGCCATCAGCATGGGGAGGGATGTTAATATGACAATCTCTGTTGAAGAAGAAGGCACTGATTCGGAGGAGGTATATCATGAAGATCCACCTGCAGTCAATGAAGATAAGACACAAAGTCCTCAGTTAGAAAGCCCGGATGAATTTAATATGGAGGAAGTCAAGGCGCTCTTACAGCTGCAAGTTAAAGGTATTGAACAAAAAAAGAAAGTGGTAGCAATGAAAGATGATACTGCAATAAAACTTATGAAGAAGCAGATGGAGTTTGATGCAGACCTGGTAAGCAAGGAATACTCATCTGATGGGGAGGCCAAAAAGATCTTGGAACCATTACAAAATTGGGAGTCTAACTGGAAGGACATTTCTGATATGGTTGATATTATGGCTAAGAGATTGGAAACAGAGGATCCTGCCTTTTATCAAGCAGAAGTTATTAATGACATTGCAAATCAAGAAAGCCAAGAGGAAGGAGAATTTACATCAGTGAAGAAAAGAAGGAATAGAGGGAAAGTCATACCTGTTACTTCTCCCAGAGTCACACGTAATGCTGCAAAAAAGAAAGAAGAGATTGTTGGGTCAGTCTTCAATGCACTGGCTTCTCAAGCTTTCTCCAATCAATGCTCATGAATTGTTTGGTGTGGAATGCAAGAGGAATAGAGTCTGCTAGTGCTAGATTATTTTCTTTAGTCAAGCAATGGCAGGTTCATATCCTAGCTGTGATTGAACCCATTGTTAATTGTTCCAGGATTGATTCTTATAAACATAGTTTAGGTTTTTCTAATGCCTTATTTTCTTCGGTTAATAAAATTTGGGTCTTTTGGGACCCAATGGTGGTGTCAATTTCTGAAGTCAGTTGGCACACTCAATATACTCATATGAAGATTAGAAAAGATAATTTCACTGGATGGTTTTCGGTGGTGTATGGTAAGCATACCTCTTCAGCTAGAAAGGAACTTTGGAGCTCTCTGTCAACTATTTCTAGCAATATGAATGAGCCCTGGCTTGTGGGTGGAGATTTCAATGCCATCTCTGCACACAATGAACACCAAGGGAGATCCTTGCCAGATTTGGGAAGCATTATTGACTTTTCTGACTTCATTGCAGCTTGTAGTTTTATTCAGCCCTCTTTTTCAGGACCTCTATTCACTTGGTCAGGGGTTAGATCCAATGGATGGGTGTGGAGAAAACTGGATAGATTCCTATTTAATCCCCAGTGGAGTGATTTTTTTAAACAGATTCAGGTGGATGTTCTTGAAAAGACACCCTCAGATCATTGTCCTATCCTAATCAGATGCTCTACTGATGCTCTTTCAAGGCCAAAGTCCTTTAAGTTTCAGAATATGTGGCTACATCATGCCACATTTTTTGAAACAGTGAAGAAAAGTTGGGCTCAGGACTCTGGTGGGGGAGGTATGAGGGGTTTTGTTCTCAAGTTGAAAAGACTGAAAAATGATCTTAAAGCATGGAATAAAGATACATTTGGCAATATTTTTGAAGATATCAAATCCTGTGAGAATAAAGTGACTGAGGCTGAAAAGGCTTTTGAATTAAATCCTTCTGAGGATAATAGGGAAAGGTGGAATCATCTTAGGGCTCTCTTGACTTCTCGGTACAAGCTTGAACGAAAATATTGGAAGCAAAAGGCCCATATAAGATGGCTTAAAGAGGGAGATGCGAATAGTAAGTTTTATCATTCCTATGTAAAAGCGAGACACAGAAAACAAGCCATTTCATCTATTACAAACAGTAGGGGGCAAACGGTTACTGCCCATGATGATATAGGGGAGACAGCCATTGAATACTTCTCTAACCTGTATTCAGTTGAACAGGAGATTAATGCTGAGGAAATCCTGCAATTCATACCCAAACTGATTTCAGATGAGGATAATCACATGTTAATGAACCTTCCAATGGAAGAAGAAGTCAAAAGTGCAGTGTGGAACCTAAATCAGAACAGTGCTCCTGGACCTGATGGATTTAATGGTAAATTTTTTAAAAAATGTTGGTCTATTGTTGGGGCTGATCTTGTAAGGGCAGTCCAAGATTTCTTCTTGGGGATGCCTATACCACAGGGGATCTCAAGCAGCCTGGTTGTTTTAATCCCTAAAGTGGATAACCCAGATTCTTTTGGTGATTTTAGACCCATTTGCTTATCCAACTTTATTAGTAAGGTTAATACCAAGATTCTGGCAGACAGATTATCTAAGGTACTCCCGAAGGTCATCTCCTCTGAACAAATTGGATTTATGAAGGACAAAGATATTGTGGATCATATTCTCATAGCCCAAGAAATGATTCATTCTCTAGAAAAGAAAGTTAGAGGATCTAATGTAATTGTTAAACTGGACATGGCTAAAGCTTTTGACAGATTATCATGGAAATTTATTGAAGGTATCCTGCACAACTTTGGTTTTTCTCAGAGTTTCATTCAGGTTGTATTAAACAATTTACAGGCTACCTATATGTCTATTCTGATTAATGGAACGCCTACTGGTTTTTTCAAGCCTAAAAGAGGGGTGAAACAGGGTGATCCTCTATCACCATTTCTCTTTATACTCGCTTCAGAGGCTTTTTCTAGAGGATTGAAATGGCATATGGAAAGGGCATCTATCAAACCTTATTGGATGGGTTCTACTGGATATCCTATATCTCATTTAGGATTTGCTGACGATCTTTTGATCTTTTTAAATGGGAGTTCCAGGTCCCTGGTTAATTTCAATAGATTTCTCAAATCTTATCAGGAGGCATCTGGACAATTAATTAACTTACAGAAAAGCTCCTTCCTATGTGGAAGGAAAGCCAGAGCTGGAGAGATATCTAGACTGTTGGGAATGCAAGAAACTGAGATGCCTGTCAAATACTTGGGAGTGCCCCTGCATAAAGGAATAAACAGAGTTCAGTATTGTACAGATATAATTCAAAAATTTGACTCAAAACTTTCATCTTGGAAGCAAAAGAATCTGTCAATGGGTGGAAGGTTAATTCTAGTTAAACATGTGCTTAATACAATTCCCCTGCGTGTTTTAGCTGCTGACAAATTACCCAAAAAGGTGATATCCATTCTTGAGAGGAAGATGGCAGCTTTTCTTTGGGGCTCATCAGACAACAAGCAGAAACATCATTGGGTTAGATGGTCTAATCTTTGCTTTCCTACTGAAGAAGGTGGTTTGGGTATTAGAAATCTTTCAGATATAGAGAAAGCTTTTACATTGAAATTGTGGTGGAAATGGAAGACGGAGGATTCTATTTGGGCTAATTTCATCAGGTCTAGATACCCTAGAGGGGATAATATGTTGCCAAAAATATCTGATTCCCCCAT